AGGAGGAAAAACAAATTCCAAAACTTGACATCCAGGTTTCGTCCAAAAGGATGAACTGGCTGGCTCGTGGAGTAACAGCCCCATGGCCGAATCCTGCAATTGGACAGGTAGGGAGGAGGCGGGTACCATCGAAACGGACTCGGCCAACCCCTTTGCCAGCTTCCCAGAACCCCGCCCCTGCAGCCCACCAATCACAGGGTGGACACAGACACCAGTTCGAGTATTGCCCAAATTGCTGCTAGTGTAATAAATAGGGTCTTGCAATTCTGTCAGCGTCTAATCCATGCATGTCTGAACAAGGGAAGGGAAGGAATTTGCCATCCGTACAGGTGGGTTTATACTGGAGGAAGGATAGCGGGGGAGGGGATTCTACAGATAAAGGCACTTCTGAAAAGAAACACTGAATGTTGACAAAGATGGGGGCTGCTGATGGGGGGGGGAGGGAGTGAATGCAGACAAGAGCCAGGGGCAAAAAAAAAAGTTGTATATAAACAGAATACGCAATGAATTAAAAATAGATGTGGGGTGCTCCTCGAATCTTCAACCGCTCATAACCATCCGGACAAGCTCTGTTTGAGAGGGGAGAGAGAGAAAGAAGAGAGAGAAGGGTTAGTGTTTCTGCGTTCCTCACCACAGGAGGACTGGACACCAGCTACAGCAAGGGGGCCTGCAGTGCCATCGATTCAAACCCAGGGGGCGCCCTCAGCACACTCTGCCATCTGCTACTCACTACAGGAAATCATCTCAGCAGGATATAACGACAGGGAGGTTCCACAGTAATGGAGCTCCTGCACCATTCAAAAACATGCAGATTGTAGGTTCTTCAAGAAAACTGTGAAACAGAAGAACCGATGGGCCTCAACAGGTACTAAAAGCCAGTACTGGAGGCGGCACGCTCATTAATGCAAAACGTGCTCTTGCAGTACTTGCATTACAGAGCACCACCAACCTACACTCTGCCTGAGACAGGAGGCTGCCATCTTGAAATCGTGCTCTCCTGCTACAGAAGAGCAGCTGCTCTCCTCCCAGTGCTGTGCTGTAGCCAGCGTCCAGCCCGCCTATCTGCCCGTCCAGCGGTCAGTCGGTCTGTCAGCAGCCAAGGGGCAGGAGCTGGGATTAGAGGAGGGAAGGGCTGGGGCAGGGAGGGACAGCTCTACTTCCTACTCAGCCAGAGCAGCAGGGCCGGGTCACAGTTAGAGAGCTGCTCGTCAGTCAGTCGGTCAGTCAGTCTGTCCTTCCACCCCGCCCGACTCGAATCTGCAGCTACAAAAGGAGCGGAGCCCAGAGAGAAAAGCTGCCAAACTCAAGGCCCAGCAGACTACGAGCTCCAGGTACAGAAGAAGTACGAACTCAAGTTGGAAATCGAGAGGAATACCAGCAAGATTCTATTCACTGCAATTCCAGGTTAGTAAAGGACAGCTGTTCTTAAGGAGAGCTGGGGAGACTGCGTTCGTATAAAAGAATGATCTTTAATTTCTACATAACATCTTTTCCTACTTAAATACAGATTTTTCTATACGTCTACACATACACGCTGGAGTTGTCAGATCAGACTGTCAGCATTCAAACATCACCCCAAGGAGACTGGCTGATCCCGGTCCCTCCCTCCCTG